GGGCCTAGAGAGGGGTGGTTTCATAGATGATGATGATGATGACGCTTGTTTTGTTCCAGTGCACAGGAACAGGAGCCATGATATAGGCTCCACGGCCCCACATAACAAGTACGCAGCCGCCAACGGTGTGCTTGCTGCTGCACCCTGAACCCTAATTACAGCCTGCTTGGAGGTATATTGAAAGTATAATCCAGTTACGATTGGACTTAAAACTCACTTGAAATCTTATTAGAGGATTTACCTACTTGCTGAGTCCAGAAATTATTGAGAAACAACTAGCCCCCATGCGTCCCCATAAATCCCCGTGCCCATTTCAACTTCCAAAATAATGTGCCGTTTGGTTCTCAGCTGATAGCCTTGAACCCTAAACTCTATACCTACTAAGCTTTACAAAAACAGCGATCTCACCCTATATAGCCCCAATTTAACCCTAGTACGAGTAGCAGAAGTAATGATAATTCAAAATAGTAGTAATCATCGTAATATTCTTTTTGTTATTGTTACCATTATGAATCCGGAAACTCCGAATCATATTTCCAGGCCGCGGCACTGGATGGTGGAGAGCCTTGTCCAGTCGAGAGTTGCGCTCCTGCAACCAGGGCTCCCAGCACAAGCGTAATACGGGGGCCCAAAGAATGACCAATTTCCTTTCGATGTCTATTTGACGTACCCTATACTAAAAATTATACAAGGAGTATGGAACCACGATATTGGTAATTATTTAGGCCCCTACACTACGCCCCACATTAGCTAATCCATCTCGCCAAATTTCTTACCCAAGTAGGTTCTCCAATGTGGTTTTAGTTTAAGCTATGGTTGGATTGCAAGTACAAGTAGACTCGGTCTACACTTACCATTAAGTCCGAATAAAGTCTAGGGCTTAGGCCGAGGTCTTTTTAAGAACCTGGCAGCGACTCTACGGGGATATATACTTCCTGGTTCTTCACAAGGAATAATGGAATCTACTATACACGTATTATATAGACATAGAGGGATTATGTTCCCTACCAAGAACCAGTAAGTATAGGGTTCGGATCTTTGGATGACAGAGTAATGCAAGAGGCTATCTGGCAGTTGTTCAAAATATCTGGGACCAACATGGCATCAGGTAGGCTTGCTTTTCGATTGGGATCCCCCCACTGACGGAAGTGTATTCCCGATGGTTTCTTCTTTACACGGAGCTTTCGAACTACCCACATACAACTCTGGGCACAGTACGGTACCTTACACCTTGAGATTTCACAGGAGCTTCATCGGGTGAGCTCGCTAAACCCAGTACACATGGTTCTTTTTGAGTCTGGGCTGCATGGATCTTAGGACCAAATCTCGATTCAGAAATATACATGTTCGCACTCAAAGGAGCTTCGGCTTTATGTACTCTACGAAGTTCTGGTAGCCACAGGGCTACTACAACGCTCATCAACCGATCCATCTTCCTAAACCCAAAACCCTCAAACCCGAAACACATGAACCCTAAACCTTCTCTTGCGGCCTCCTCCGCGTCGGGGTTGCGGGTGGGGACGGTTCTGTTTTCCCCGAACCACTTCGTTCTTTCGTGCCTCAGCCGGGATGCTCAAAGATTTAATTGTTGTGGTGGGCCCATTCTCCACACGTTTACGAATTTCCTTTACATGGCAGTCCTCTGCGAAACCATTTGTCCATAGTCCGTGGAGCATAACCCTCCTCAGTTTCCTCCGGACTTGCTTCCCCCCTCAGAGAACCTTTGCGGTAAAAAGGCCTCTTATTCACTTCTAGTACTGATATTACTGTTATTACTACTATTACTATTCGTAATATTGTTAACTTATTGCTATTGTTATTATTACTATGATGATGGGCTACTCCCTCAACTGTGTGCAGATCCGGCGGCCAAACCCCTCCAATCTTCTGGTATAGACTTTAGGGCTTTAGGGTCTAGAGGTTTTGGGTTTTGGGTTCAGGTCATCAAGGGTTTAGGGATACCAGCCGACAATGGAGAAGCAATTGAAAAAGAAAATGGAACCTGGGATTGGATAGGGATTAGCGAGACTAGGTATTGCATACAATCATGGTAGTAACAATAGTAACCATCATCATCATGAGAGCGAATAAGCAGTGCTCATACCTCTGTACCAACAGTGTTAGTAGGGAAAAAAGAAGAGAGAATAGCCGTAACAGCAAGTGTCTAGTTGCAACTCCGTACTCCAAGAGAAAGAAAACAACGAGCACTCGGCGCTTGCCACTGCTCGATATACTCCAGAGGCCGCTCCATGGTTCTGCCTCAGCAGAGAGCCGAAGGAGATAATGGAAAACATCAGATGCCCAGACCCTAAACCCTAAACCCAGAACCCTGAACCCTAAACCCTAAACCCTGAACCCTGAACCCTAAAACCTAAACCCAGAACCCTGAACCCTAAAACCTAAACCCTAAAGCCTAAACCCAGTGGGGATGGCGTGCAGCCCAAGGCACTTCCCAGCGTGCCGTTCATCTCGAGCATCGGCCGGTCGTCAACGCCGCCGAAGGCGACGCAGTCGGACACCAGGACGTCCTTGCAAGTGCAAAAGGCGCCAGACATCACTGAAATGATTTGGGATCATTGTGGTTATTATTGTTTTTTCTCAACAATTACTATAATCAATATTCGTATTTGTTAGATGTAGTTAGTACTACGATTTTTTGACGATTACCGATATTAGATACTAGTATGTACCCATGGTTCGCCGTCGGCGAAGCAAAACCACTGGTATTCCTGGGCTATTCTACACGCATGCCATCTTCATTTTTGTTCATCCGTTTAGGGGCCGGAGTGCTCTCGCTTGGATTTTGGCTACATGCCAAAGCCTTAATTGCGCTCGGGTTCCAAGAGCATACGGTGACCAGTGCATCCATGCCCAAACCACAATTCCGTTCGGGTTCCAAGAGCATACGGTGACCAGTGCATCCATGCCAAGCTTTGACGTGAAGCGTTGCTCCTGGCTTCGAGAGGTCTAAGAAAATGCTGACGGCAAACCAAGAGTGTTCTTGATGTAGCCAAAACCCAAGCGAGAGCACTTCGCCCCCTACTCGGATGGAAAAAATGGCGATGGCATACGTGTAGAATAGCCCACGAATGCAATTGTTTTTGCTTCGCCGACGGCGAACCATGGGTACTGCGTATACATACTATCATTAAAATAAGTAGCAAAAAATACTATCTTCAGCGCTACAAAGTTAATATTCATAATTTCACTATTGCGAGGTTTGTTTACTACATGTTTGGAATGGCTGGGGCAAAGGCCGTGACTGCGGTCCCCTGGATCTCCTCGCATTCGACATCGAAGTCAAAGGAGGCTTCCTCGCCAAGATACTCAAAACTGAAGGCCGTGAGCATGAGTACTACAGAGGACTCCAAAATGTCCAATTTGATTTTGGCATTCCTTGGAGGTAGCCTATTCTGTATCTAAAGATAGTGTTGAGGTAATTACATATATATGTATATACATGTATATATGTACTGATTCTACGTTACCCGGCTTCTGGCGTCCCAGGGCTGCCTGCTCCCAGTGCCCTTCAGCGCGGGCCTGCTTGGGCGAACATGAGCTATAGTTTAACCTCCTAGTAACTTAGCATTCCCCTTACTCACCCCTATAATACTCTCCTGTATAACCCCCTTTAAGGAGTTTCTTATACGAAAAGCTCACATGGACCCATCATAGCGAGGCTAGGATGATCCGCCTCTGCGCAGGTCTGGTCGAACGGAATTCCCTGCAGTTGTGCCGTGAGTTTGGTTGGCTGGAGGCCGAACTGCTAGGCTTCGTAAATATGGGTCCCCAATATAGACTCGAAAATACTAAAATCCTTATTATCATAATTTAGGATCCTCTTTGAAGGGTACCCCTGATTTTGGGAAACCCTAGACCCTATAGATTCTATAGATGCCCATATGTCCCCCTTTTTCGGGTACCCCTGGTTTTGGGAAACCTCAACTCAGGAGGGGGCAAGGAGCCGCTGGGTGTACTGCCTGAGCTGAGGGTTGCAATGGTTCAAGCCAACACAGCAAGGACTGTACTGAACTACAAGAGGAAACCCTGTGTCACAGTGGGTCCCTCAACTACCACATGTCCGTGGAGCAGCATGGGCAACTGAGACGTAGGCTCGAAAGTTTCGCCTGGCCATTGCTTGTAGAACCTGGTCATGCCATTGAGACGAATGGCAAGATACAGAAGCGGCCTACAGGATGACCCATGTTATGCGGTTATGTAGGGATTGTAGAGGGACATCACATCACCTCAACAATGGAAACTCAAAAAGAAAAGAAAATGCAAAGTTCCAGGTTCAGGGCTTCAGAGGCAGGGGTGATGAAGACGGGCAAGGCAAGGTCTGGTGTTGCAGATAGCGAAATCGACTTATAAACCTTATAAACCCTAACCCCTGAACCCCAAACCCTCAGCCAAACCCAAACGCTACAGCCCGGACTGGGGATATGCGCAGCTGTCAAGCTTCATCCTGTTGATACCAAAAATCCTGCATGACCTTTGTAGGCTAGAATACCATCATTCCCAGAGTATGAGGTACTCGGGGTCTACGCAATGTTTTTGATATCAACCTTCAGCCCTAAGCCCTATTTACATCCCTATACGCACTTTAAGGGCACCTTGTCGCCGTGCAGGATTGTTGCTGTCCACCGTCATGCTTTTCCCAAGCCCAACAATTTAAATGGTCAGTCTATGGACCTCTACTGGGGCCTCTAAGGATGCAAGAAACACCAAGACCATCGCTGGATATCACGACATGCGATCGATCGGTTCAGGATTTCGGGTTTAGGCTCTACGCACTAACCCCACCAACTGTTTCAAGAAGTTGTATACTGTTTCTGAAGAGGATGCTCTTAGGACCCGAGCCCCTTTACGACCAGGAAATGGCCCTATCAGCTTTGGTCCTTGATCCCTTGACCCGCAAGTACTGACTCCGGCATGCTACCAAAGTAGGGTTTAGGGTTGAAGGCTTTACCCTCATGGCCCAGATAGACCTGTTGGCTAGCATACCCCAACCCCGGTCTTATCGACCCGATTGACCAACTGCTCCCAATCTGTTTAGAGGTACCCACCAAAGAAGGGCCACTGGACGTGTTTGGCCATGTACTAAAATGAAAATCAAGATATAACTGTACTTGTACTTATAGCAAAGGTCCCTAAGATGGTCATAAGTGGGATATAAGCACAGACAACTGGGATAAAACTTCGCTGAACTTCCCCAAGCAACGCGGGATCTGCCGGGGGAATTTCTGGATTGCAGCTTCCTTGCAGGCTTGGGCCTGGACAGAAAACTGAGATGATGATGATGATGATGATGATGCGGGTGTTTCCGGGATGGTCGTAGAATTCTTCGTCTTGGGGAAAATTCAGCCCCGTACATTAAGCCTGTCTTCAGGTCGTCAGGGCCTGGTATTCCAGAGTTGTCTGCGGCCTTGGACTATTGTGACTCATCCTTCCCGAATGTTTGTATTCTGCTGAGATAAATGTTGTGAAGTTCCAGGCGTCGATCAAATCCTACATTCATCAAGGAAACGTCTCGCTCGAACACATGTTTAACCCTAAACGCTGAACCCTAAACCCTACACCCTGAACCCTAAACCCTGAACCCCAAACAGCATGGGCTTCGGGATCCGAGGTCTAGAGCAGCTCCGGCTGATGTCAGCTACAAAAATGTCCCCAGGAAAATCAATCTGCACGGGTTCCTTATTGCGGAACCTACTAACCCTAGGTCCCTTTAAACGGGTGTATAGGTATAGAGGGATATTACCCCACTAACAGAGAATTCACCAGAAAATTAATGGACATGGGCTCCTCATAATGCAGGAACTGCTATAATGGAAATTCAGATGGACAAGAAAATAGAAAATGAAGTGGAAACTGGGATTGTATAGGGGATTAAGTAGGGATTAATGTTACCCAGGTAAGTAAATGGACATGGGTTCCTTATTGGGGATTATATTTAGGACTATACCAAACTACAATAGTGGCCCCTAGGTTCACTATTAAGGGTCCCCTGGTAATGCGTAATATTCACACTAGCTCATGTGAGGTTAGACCTTAGCGCTTTTTTTCTAAAAACCAAGGACTTGTTGAAGGTAACGCTACCAGTGCTAAAAGAAATCTTCTAATGTTAGTAAGTAGAGAGTTTTGTATACTCCAGTTAAATTTAAGTCTGGAGAGATCATACACTTGAAGGGGGGAAGTCCCTAAACCCTAACAAAATCAAATCACCTTCCTCTTGGCTTTAGGGTTTAGACATTTTGGGGTTAGTTAGGGTTTTGCCTGAACTTGTACACCCCGCACCACCAGGTCCAAGAATTGCCTCCTATACTGTCCAAGGCTGCGCATTGGAAGGATTCAGGCCTCTTCCCGAACCTTCAACCAAAACCCTACTACAGGCCCAACGGAACCGAACCATCGGTCCCTCCCCAAGGGGTCCAAAGTACCTACGTGCAGTAGTACTCAGTAATCCCTTCATACTATTGTTAAACACTAAGCGAAGCGAAATCCAGGGTTTGCAAACTTTAGAAATCCCTGTGTCGTGTGATCTAAATAAGTGAGCGCATGAAGTGAAGGGAAAGAAATGAGTTACGCTCACTTAATTGAATGCACGCCACAGACCCAAATAAAAGAGTGGGGATTCTAATGTCTCATGTCATCCTATTAATCCTCTAGCTAGCAATCCCACGGGCCTACAGTAATTCTCTTAGCCTAGAATCATACGGTTTGTCCAAGATGTCTTCATATTTTCTATGATTTTTATCTTCAGGAATTAATATCAGTCCCTAGAGTCATTCCTATAGCCAATATTCTCCAGGCTTACACTTCTCTCATGATCGTCTTTCTCTAATTAAATGAGTGAAACGAATAAGCGCAATGAGTGAGTGAAAGAAGTGAGCCACACAGACGCTTACTCGTGAACTCATGAATGCACGACACGGTCAAATGGCTTGGAAACATAGGTCTGCTGGAACAACCTTGGCTTTAGGCTAATAGAAATGGTCTAGCGCTAATGGTTCCCTGGGGTTACTCCTTATTCTAAGCTAAGTCAGTTCTATTACGGTTGAACCAAAAGTAACCTCAATTACAACTAGCTCTAGAACAATTCGCCACGACAGGGTCACGAGCCCCAATTATTCGCGTGAGTTTGTTCACTCTCTTTGTTCATTCACTTCCTCACTTAATTAAGTCGCGTGAGCTCGTATAATCACACACTAAACACAACTATGAGCGAGGTACGTTCCCTAAATAAAATCATGCGACGAGACCAAAATGAGTGTGATTTCATGGAATTTCGCTCTTTCGCTCCTTTTAATCTGTGAAGAGAGGGAAACGAACGGAACAAAGTGAAGAGAGTGAACTGAACGAAACAAAGGAGTGAGCCTATGATTTCTTTGTCATAATAAATTTCTATCGTCAGGATCCTTAGAGCTTTCAATAAAATCTGTAGGTAATAATCATAGGCTTTGGGATAATATCTCCATAATCTAGGAGAATTTAACTAAGGGAGTTTACCACTAGCAGCAGCAACTTTGTCTAGAGGAAATGATCCCTGAGAAGCGCCTATGATCTCAGCTCCTAATATAAAATGAATTACGCTAGTTCTAAAATCCATTACTCTAGGCTTTGGACTAATAGAATTGTATTGGAGATAGAATGCACGATACAGCCAAGTTTGTTCACTGCTGCGGTTTAATGACCAGGCGACATCAGAGAATGACTTACAGCTCTAGGTCAAATGACTTGATTTGCATTACGGCTCCTTGTTTCCTTCTTCCGGATCCTAATAAAAACCAAGTGTCGTGGATTGTTGTCTTCAGGAAATGCTCTTCATGGACGGGGCGTGAGTTCATAAGCTTATAAACGCGCACATTTGCTCATTTTATTCACTCATTTTGTGCGTTTATATCACTTACTTCTCTCACTTCTTTTCCTTAAGTGAACGAGTGAGCGAGAGAAGAGAGAGAGCGAGGACACGAAGCCACGACACCTACTCTTGATCCCAGGATATGCCAATCATAGAGTTTTCCAAGATGCTAAAGTTAAAATATCTTCATGTAATGGTTCCTGTAACTAGAAGATAGACCCAGCTCTAGGTAAAATCCTTAGAGATAGAAAGTTTCTACCAACAGACTCCATTAGAAGCTGTATGATTGGATAACCGCCTATGATTGAGGGTTTGTGGCACTATTTCGCTCACTTGTGACCCAATTTAATTTGTTTCACTTCATTCAACTATTAAACTGTTTCACTTAGTTCACTTACTTCCTCCACTCCATTAATTAAGGAGCGAAGAGACGTGAGGAACGAAGCCACGAAACCTAATAAAAAAGAGTGGGCCACGGTTAAACTTTAATAGGCATGCAATAACTTTCTATACAAACATTAGAAGCCCTGCAATAATTTTAGGATGGAAAGCCTGATCTGTAATACAATATTATCAGAGCTAGGGGAAGATTTCTTCAACAAAGCCAGGTTTTACCATTAAATGTATTAGCTAATAATAATGACTTAGAATCCTGGCTTGCTAGAGGAATCCATCGCCTTGTCCTAGAGCAAATGTATTAGAATGAAAGTTGTATGGTCAAGCCAAATTCAGACTTAGCTCTGTATCGTTTGACCAGAAGATAGAACACATACCCTGCGGCACCGTTGATATTGAACATGTCTCCATAAGAGAGGGCTTATCTATCGGGGGGCATATTCATTTTGGAGGAGATCTTTCACATCTTGCATGAAGGGATTACAATGCGTGGTTTCTGTACGGCCGAGCTGCTTCCAAAGCTGAACTGAGCCGATGAGCTGCTTTGGCCGCCTTGATGGCAGCTGGATCCCTATAGGGTTTAGGGCTTGCGGTTTAAGGTCTAGGCATATTAATTAACCCAATAGCGAAAATCAAATGGAAAAGAAGATGGGAACGACATGGATACTGCGATGAGCGATATACAGATTTATATAGAGACCTCTTGGGGACGTTTAAGGCGGGAGAATGAAAAGATGAAGGCCACAACGTGGGGTTTGCGGTATTGGGTTTAGGGGTTTGTCTTCGTCTTAAGTAGCTAGGCATATTGCGAAACACTTGTGCTACCTGAATTTGTAGTTGCAAGCGACTGTAGGCTGTAACATGTTCATAAAATGGGCTGTTCCCTATCTAGTGTTTTGAGTGTGCTTTTGCAGAAGTTTAGGGTATAGGGGGTCAGCGTAAGGACCAAGGTCAAGTAACAGTAAGGCATGAAAAGCTTCAGATGCATGTAAAAGGCTGCAGGGGGCATGCTTTAGGATTCCCAGCAAAGTCTTTCGAGATTTTACTAGGTAAGTACGTGTACTCAGCTTGAAAAATGCATCTATGTTGGGCTACCAGGAGTTCGGGGTTTGGAGCTGGCTGGCTTTGAAGGCCTTTGGGGTTGGAAGCATCTGGAACGCAGGGTTCAGAACTCTTTACAGTATTTAGGGGTTCAGGGGTTATTGCAGGCCCTTTCAGCTACCCGTTTCGTGATTGCCAAACGGGGCTGCAGCGTCTGCACCTCACACACGACTTTGCTGCGCTTTTGGCGTAGCTCATGCACGGAATTTTTTTGCTTACTCATAGTCTTCGTATCATGGCGTCCTTGAATTTAGGAGGTGGCACAGAACTGCCGTGACATGAGAGTTTCCGTACATGGGGGGGGGCCCCATATTTATTCCAATCCTCAGTGAAGGCACCTCCGACAACTTACCCGAAGGAAGCATGCCGAGGAGTCGACCTATCGTCTCCGGAGTCAGGCTCTCCAGGAAGCCAGTAGCTCCAGTTGTCCCCTCCTGGCACGTATCCCAACAACCCCTTAGCTAAGGAAGCCTGGGGATCCTGAGTGCCAATTTGGGGATGGCTTAGGAGTTGGACACCGACAATCTCCTATAGTTGTACCCATCTGTTTGGGGTGACTGTAAATTATGAAGGCTTTTCCTGGGGGGAGGTCCTACAACCTGTGGGCTACAAACCTTCACCACATGACCCTCTGGCTCAGGTCAGAAGGCCAACCAAGCCCAAGAATTTGAAGCATTCCGCGTCCAGGCCTCCGTAACATCTAAAGACGTGCAGTTTCTGGTTTCGGTTTTGGCTCAGGGCCTACGCCTGAGACAAGATGACAACAGCTATGCAAGGCTGGGGCAGAGGATTGCGTACGGCTTGGGGGCCTAGGGTATTCCTCAGGATTCTGAAGCCTGAACCCAAATCCCCGAATCCCTCATACAGGAGGCGCTACAAGTAACACCTAAACCATGTATGGATAGGTGTTCTGTTCATTTTTGAATTGGTCAGACAGGAAAGCACAGATGAGTCTTAGGTACTCTCCGTAGCACTTGGCGCTTCTTTATCTAGGGTTTCAGCCTTAGGGCTATACATTGCTCGTAAGAAGACATGTGTGGTGGCTTCTGCAACAAGCAAAGTTGCAACCCTTGCGATGATGACGACTTTCAGCCTGGGATGCTTGCGGCTTACTCCTGTGCAAGTACCCTACACCCTGAACATCTAGACCTGAACCGCAAAGTAAAGCTAAAAATCCCAGCAAACATGGAAACCCAGTGGACGAGGTTGCAAAATCTGAGCTCTCCACGGTTGGCAAATCCTCCAGCAGAAGGCTCCAAATCTCCTGTGCGTCTGAGGGGTGGGTTGCTCTGCAGGTCGGGCTCTGGTGCAGTCAGGCAACTACCTCTGCTGCAGCATCATTCTTCTCGGAGGATTCCTTCACTGTTGCTGCGAACAATGTGCACAACTGAGGTTGCAAAATTTGAGCTCTAGACAGTTTGATCATCTTCCAGAAGACCCGGCATCTCCTGTGCGTCTGGGGGGTTGCTCTGCAGGTCTTGGGTCAAAACCATGTGAGCTCTCATGTAGCGCAAGACATTGCAGGCAGGTCGGGCTCTGGTGCAGTCAGGCAACTACCTCTGCTGCAGCATCATTCTTCTCGGAGGATTCCTTCACTGTTGCCGCGAACAACGTGCACAACTGAGGTTGCAAAATCTGAGCTCTAGACAGTTTGATCATCTTCCAGAAGGCCGGAAATCTCCTGTGCGTCTGAGGGGTTGCTCTGCGGGGTCAAGACCATGTGAGCTCTCATGTAGCGCAAGACATTGCAGGCAGGTCGGGCTCTGGTGCAGTCAGGCAACTATCTTTGCTGCAGCATCATTCTTCTTGGAGGGCTCCTGCACTGTTGCCGCGAACACCGTGCACGACTGAGGTTGCAAAATCTGAGCTCTAGACACTTTGATAATCTTCCAGAAGACCCGACATGTCCTGTGCGTCTGGCGGGGTGCTCTGCGGGGTCAAGACCATGTGAGCTCTCATGTAGCGCAAGACATTGCAGGCAGGTCGGGCTCTGGTGCAGTCAGGCAACTACCTCTGCTGCAGCATCGTTCTTCTCGGAAACCTCCTGCACTGTTGCCGCGAACAACGTGCACGACTGAGGTTGCAAAATCTTAGCCCTAGACCTTTGCATTCTCCTCCGTCAGGAGGCTCCAAATCTCCTGCGCACTCCGAAGGGTCGCTCTGCAGCTCTTGGGACAAGGGCATCCAGCGTGAGACGCTGCAGGCTTCACGAGATGGAATGGCAAAGCCCTCCTACCAAGGGCCTAATGCAAAGACAAATCCATCCCGAAGCGTTTGCATCATCGCAGCGGTCCGGCAGTGTCCGGCATGCCGCGTGCACTGCCATGAAGAGCTGAGCAAAGCTGAAGGCTTGAGATTGAAGCTTCAGGGTTATTAGCGGATTCTACTGATGTGGCAGCTTCAAGGCCACAAATCTGCAGCAAAGCCACAGGCTGCAATGCCATGACTTCCCATGGCACCGGCGGCAGCAGACCTAGCATCGCGTCGAACACCATGGCCCGTGATCCGCGTCCCAACTTGTCCCCAATACTGGCCGTCGCAGCCTAGAGCGAAGTCATGAAAAGCGTTCAGTGAGAGTGATGCATGAAGAAACTCGTCAACGTGCACTTTCTGTTGGCCTTATCTCTCAGATTTGTTCATCGGCACAAGTCCGCTGAAAGCTGAGAAAAGTCACCGGCTGTGGGAGCAACAACCGTCACGGAATATCATGCATACCAAGGCTGGACCCACAGTTGCGACCCTGATCGCCTTATCCTTCGAGGTTGCGGGCAGCTGGTCAGGGATCAGTTAAGGGATGAGTTGGCTCAGCAGTCTCAACAGCTGCACCCGCTCCTTGAATGCAAAGGGTTTCATCCCTGGGGCCGGGATCTCTCCGTAAAGCCGTGGATCTGTTGAAAGCATTCAGCAGCTGCTCGAAATCAATTGCCAGCTTTCCGTCTCTGCGGCTTTGGGGAAATAACAACAAAGTTTCAGAGCATTGGGATCCAATATTGCCAGCTGGCACAAGCAAGCAAGCCCACAACTGGTATGGCACTCTCTTTTCGCCTTTCCACACTTGGTGCATTGCGCTGCCGCCGACCACACGCCGGAGCTCACAGAATCATCGGCACAAATGACCTGCAGCAGAGCATGGCCAACCCTTCATCCGAATGAAACTGCCACAGTACCTAGATGAAACTGCCACAGTACCTAGGGCCCTAGGGCCTCAAGAAGTGTGATGACATAAGAAGCAGTAAAACTCTTCAAGCAGAAATCGTGTTGCTGAGAAACTACACTACCATTCGATCTCTTCAGACAATCGTGGAGAACATGGATCGGAAATGTCATGTGCAAGCTGTCGAAGTTTAGGCATCTGCAGCACAGAACCAGGCTTGTCAGGGTCATTAAAGACAGCGCGCCAGACTCACACGCACGCAGCTGATACTCCGTTAAGTCCTTGCGGGCACTGTCTCTAGTCGACCTTTTGCGTCCAGCGCGCAGCTCAGCATGTGAAGTCCATGCACGAACCGTCCAGGAGCGCTGCAAGCCAAATAACCGTTGCAGGCTTCGCAGAATTCGTCTGGACCCCCGCAGCCACAAGCGAGGCTTCAGTCCTTCATGGCCATGCGTGCGGCGAGCGCCCATGGCCACGGAGGACTGAAGCAAAGCTTGACGCTTCAGGCTTCAGGCGAATTCTGCTGATTTGGCGGCCTCGAAGGAAGCAAATCTGCGGCGAAGCCCGAGGGGCAGCAGTCCTTGAACAGCCTCCAAAAGACCATGGCGGGGGCGGTCCCACACCGGGCAGCATCGAGAAAGTTGAGACGCCGCCCGCAACCCTACAACGCCCACGCCATGGTGCTGGATGCCATGCTTGGACTACTGCCGCCTCTTAGGGGCGGCAGTACGTAGTCCAAGCATCGCATCGAGCACCATGGCGCGCGCGTTGCAATGCTCAATGCCGGCGGCAGTGTTGAAAGAGTCGAAGTGCTCGTGCCTCTTTTCCCAATTCTGGCTGTTCGCAGTCAAGCACGAAGAATTGCTGAAGGCTGCAGGTGGCAGATGTCGCGCACTTTGTGACTTCGTTGACGCCTGCACGTGCAGCGCAGAGCCATCGGAGTAGAAGCAAGGCCATCGCTCATTAATGCCTGCATTTGCATCCCACCATGCAAGCTTGGCCTTGCTCCCAGAACGCTTGCAATGGAGTCTCAGTTCTTGCCGGGTTTTGAGGGTGAGCACATGTGGAATGACTGTCAAGACTGACCTCCATACCTCTCTGCTCCCTGCGAGTATGGTTGTTCCTGCGCTTGCTGCACCAGGAATGACCGGGCATTGGTTCAGGCTTGGTTTTGATTCCGCATGGCTCCTGGGTGCCGCAGGGCTTCAACGAGTCACAAGCAGCACGTCTCAACCCTCAGGCACTAGCTCTCTACATGGCGCTGCAGGTAACTTCAGGTGCCGGGATCTTCTTCGCAAGGTGGCGCATGCATCGAAAGCTCCTCAACTTCCTGCTCACTGCCTGAATCTCGTTACTCTTGAGTCGAAAGCTGCAAACACCTCATTAGGCACTACAAAAACATCAACGGCTGGCACACAAAGACAGACCCATGAGCTTCAAGGTGATGAATCGATGAATGACCTTGAGGCACTTGGTGCATTTCGCCACCTTCGACCACACGCCGCCGACGAATGACCTGCAGCAGAACATGACCCAGGGCCTCAAGAAACATCATGGCATGCCAATCAGTAAAGCTCCTCAACCAGAAACCGTGTTGCTCAGAAACTGGTACCAGTAGACATTTTCAGGCAATTATGGAGAACATGAATCAGAAATGCCAGGTGGAAGCTGTCGGAATTTGCGCATCTGTAGCATATAGAAAAAACTGCTTCAGAGTCAGAAAAGAAAATGCACAAGACCCACACGCACTCCCCTCATACTGAGTCCTTGCGAGGCACTGTCTCTACTCACCTTATGAATCCGGCTGCACAGCTTAGCACACGGAGCAGAGGAGTTCATCAAGGCACAAACGGTCAGCCAGTGCAACTACCTGAGCTCAACAACCTAAGAGCTCGACGACCTACATACCTCCGCGCACAATCCTTCTAACCTGACGAACCCATTTGTGCCAGCCTCTTGACCCTGACCCCGATGTGTTGGGACAACCCTTCCAATGCTAAAGCCTGAATGTTGGAAACCCCCCTATCTCAAACCCTAAACCTTCAGCCCTGTGTGCTACAGTGAAGCTCATTTTTCACCACTGCAGCGCGCAGTGCGGAGATGGACCAAGATGGCCAGAGCAGCGATGGCCTGCAGGGAGTCGGACGGTTTGAAGGTCCGCGGTATTCTTGCTCCAATTTCTGCCTTCATTGTGCTGACTTTGACAGCCCAAACGCAACCTTTTTGGGTGCCTGCCCCCAACCTGCACGGGGGCTTGTCCGCCAATCTTTGCCACTTTGATGGTGGCGATCCAGCGTTTCAGCTCTTTGCACCTGTGCTCATGTGGCAGCGGCTGCGTGAGCACAGGTGCAAAGAGCTGAAATGCGGGATCGCCACCATCAAAGTGGCAAAGATTCGCGGACAACCTTGGTCCGAAGCTCGTTTTTGTGAGTGTAGCTGCAGGCAAAGGTGAAAAGCTAAAGCTCTGCACAGAGCTGTTCACAATGCAGTTGAACACCTTTCCCTTGACCCTGAAGTACTCGAACCTACTCGAGAGCTGGGAAAGCTGTTCAAAGCTCTTGGCCGAGAATCTCTTCGAAGGAAGCCTCAGCAGGCAACTCTAAATGCGGAATCCAAACAAGTGCCAGCAGCAGGAGCAGGAGGTAATTACCATTCCAACAGGTTTGAGAGCATGACCATTGAGTGGGTGAAGGTCCACACAAACTACGAGTAGCAGCAAGGATCAGCAAGGCATCCATCTTTTCTCCAACAAATCCTGGAGCAGCCCCCACGACACATCGCCAACTTGCTGGCAAAGCTTCAAACACTCTGGTCGGCTTGAGATGTTGGGACCACAGTTTGATGCTGTCCGCCTCAGATGCACTGGCAGAGAGGAGTCGCCTTCCCAAACAAAAATTCAACAACTCTTCCCAAATTCGCAAACTGCAGAAGCATGAACAGGCTGCATTCTCGGAATCACATCAGCTTGGGAGCAATTGCTTCGGCAATGCGCTCGCCCACGAGTTGCAGCGGGGGGTTCTCCGGAGGACCAGTCTGGTGGTACTCTGTCGCCGTGAATCCAAGACCATGGCGTCGGCGATGCAAAGCCGCAGGCGCTGTTGCGAAAGTATCCGAAGGGCTCCTGCCTCTTTTCCCCAATACGGGCTGATGCAGTCTAGAAATGTATAGAAATCACTGTGTGCTCACAGCTGGGCTGTGCGGTCTCTAGCATGCAGCAGTGCTGAAGGCTGCAGGTGCCAGATGTCGCACAGTGTTTTGTGTCTTTGTTGACGCCTGCACGTGCAGTGACATGAGGTGGAATGAAAGCTGGGCCTCCGCGCGGTCCAGCCGAGCCATCGGAAGCAACTCCATCAACGCCTGCGCTGAATGCATCATGCTACCATGCAAGCTTAGCCTTGCTCCCAGAACCGCTTCGCACCGGAGTCTCAGCCGATTCCCCCGGATTTGAAGGTGACTGCCACTACTGACCTCACTCCCCTCTGCTCTCAACAGGCTGGTATGGGATTGTGGGCAAACTTGCTGCAAATGCTTGGCTATGAGTGACCGGGAATTGGTTCACTTCAGCATTGCTCACGGGTGCCACAGAGCCGTGACGTGTCACAATGCCACGCCTCAACCCTCAGGCCGAAGGCACGACAGAAGCTGCACAGTCTGGAGATGTCTGGAATGAAGACTGAGTGAATCTTAGCATTAGCTGTCTACATGCCGGCTGCGGGCACCTTCAGGTGTCGGGATCTTCTCGTGAAGTGGTGCATGCGTCGCAAGCTCTACATACATACAGTTTCCTGCTCACTGCTTGAATCTCTTCACTATTGATTCGGGAAGTGCAAGTTCATGTTTAGACACGAAAACATCAACGGCTGGCACCAGCAAACAAACCCATGAGCTTCAAGGTGAATAACCGGTGAATGACACCTCATATAGCATGCGTCACGAGTTGCAGACAGTCTGTTTTTCTTGCCGCACTTGGTGCACTGCACCACCTTCGACCGCACGCCGGCGAAAAATGACCTGCAGCAGAACATGACCCAGGGCCTCAAAGCACGTCATGGCATGCCAATCAGTAAAGCTCCTCAACCAGAAACCGTGTTGCTCAGAAACTGGTACCAGTAGACATTTTCAGGCAATTATGGAGAACATGAATCAGAAATGCCAGGTGGAAGCTGTCGGAATTTGCGCATCTGTAGCATATAGAAAAAACTGCTTCAGAGTCAGAAAAGAAAGCGCCCGACACGCACCTCTCACACTTAGTCCTTGCCAGACACTGCTCTTACTCCACTATCTTATGAATCTGGCTGAAGCAGTCCGCCAGTGCTGCGTAAAAACCTGGCCATAGCTGGAGTATGATGAATCCCTCTACTTGGCGGGCATTGTGCGAAACGACGAAAACCGGGGTCTAAGGGGGCAGCAATGATCTAAGCTCAACGACCTAAACTCGACAACGAATATACTCTCCATGCACAAGCCTTCTAACTTCGCCTGAACCATTTAAACTTGTGCCAACCCCTTCATCGTTGAAACAGGTGACCCAGATATGTTGAGACAACCCCTCCAATGCTAAAGCAAGGCCAGGGCGGCCAGGGTAATCAAAGGAATGTTCGAGATTTTAGTTTTCATATTTAGGTGGGCCCCACCCATCATAGACCCCAACATACCGGAATCCTGACTATGGGGACCCCCGAAAACGACCCGTAATTGTTGGAAAGCTCCCTATCGCAAACCCCCCTGCCCTATCTCAAACCCTAAACCTTTAGCCCTGTACTCCTGTGAAACTCATTTTTCACCACTGCAGCGCGCAGTGCGGAGATGGACCAAGATGGCTGGAGCAGTGATGGCCTGCAGGAAGTTGGACGGTTTGGAGGTCCTTGCTGTTACTGAATTTGGGTCTTGATGCAGGTTGAGCTCCCCCAACCTGCACAAGGGCTCCTGGAACTGGAAGCCAGCAGGTGCGGCAGCGGCTGCATAAGCACAGGCGCAAACAGCTGAAACGCCGGATCGCCACCATCAAAGTGGCACAAATTGGCGGACAACCTTGGTCTGATGCTCGGTTTTGTGAGAGCTCCGACTGCTGTAAGCATGGGTCGAAAGCTCAACTTCTAGATTCAGCCTTTTGTACTGGAGTTGGATCACTTGGACACTTCCTGGACTGGAATTTACTCGAAAAAGCTGGAAAAGCTGTTCAAAGCTTTTGGCCGAGAATCTCTTCCAAAGAGGCCTCAGCAGGCATCTCCAGCTGCGGGTGCTGTTCTAACAGGTTTTGAGAGCATGGCTAAGCAGGTTCAATATGCTAATATGGCTATACGGATCAAAGCCACGTGCCCCGAGTGCACGTTCCTATGTTGTCTGATCCGGAGGGTCTGGATTGCA